TTATTCTTTTGCATCAGCTTGTGCTTTACAGGATTTTGTCTAGTGATTTTATGATTGTTTACACATGTAAATGCTATGGAATTCATTATGTCCAATTATGAGCCCACTGGACATTGGAAGATGTGCATGCCTTGATTTTTTATTGATAGGTTTTTTCAAAATGTCAATAAAGTGGGTAAATCAGGTACATTGCTGGACAAATTAAAGCTTAAGATGTTTTTTGATTGTCAATATAGTAAATATTCTGCACTCAAGTTATAATATGATGGATCAAATTAAAATCTATGGAGCATTACTAGAGACCATTCATGATATAAATACTAATTTTTTAAATGAAAATATGGTAGATATTATGGCCTTCAGTTAGAACATAATTGATAAATAAATTTTTTTGGAAAATCACTAGACACAATTTCTGGCCTGAGCCTTATCAATGTGCCTGTAGATAATTAATGCAGAATCACTTATCACATATTTTGGAGCATTCAGTAAAGTTTTTTGTTTGTTTGGGGGGGTTGACTCCTTATCAATTGTTACTGCACCTGTGTTTTTTTGTTGTATGAATGTTTTGGTTTGAACTTTTAGTTGGACCCGGAGCTGGAATTTGATCGTGAGGTGTATCCTCTTGGTCTACTGCGTAATGCTGGGATTGTTGTGGGTGTTTCACAGAGAATGTCTTTTTCTGCATGTACTGAGTTTCCGTGTTTCGAGCCATCTCCTCAAGCTCAGACCATATTGCATTGCTTACTACGACATCTTCTGCAGGTGGTTCCTAGTTACACTTTTGTAGCTTTAGAAGCAGAAGTTTTAACTTGTTTATTTACCGAGACAAGAAATGCTTGATATAGTGTGGCAATTTGGTATCTGAAATATATTATTCTGTTACTTTTTTACCTGTGCCCTTTTTGGATATGCTGCTACAAAATGATTAAGTTAGAGAACAGGTGAATGTCTATTAGAGACCTTGTTGACTTTCCATGCTAAAAAGGTCATAGCTCTATCCTCAGGTGCCTCCATATGGAAGGCTTTTTCAAATCAGTATGGTAGTTATTGACACAAAATCTTTGGGAGGCATGTCTTATAGAATCTTCACAGTTATCTAGATGTTCACTTCTAACTATAATGCTTTTCTTTTGATATTATTTGGCAGAGGGACAAAATGCAAGAAGCGTTACGGTTGGCACAATTATCAGCAGAAAAGCCACATTTTTCACATTGTTTAGAGTGGCTTCTTTTTACAGTTTTTGAAGCTGAAATTTCCAGGTAATTTTAGCAGGAACTTATGATCAGCATGATTATCTTTTTAGATTGGAATGGGGAATGTATCATTCAGGCATTAGGATATGTTAAAAGATTCTCCGTTAATCTCTCTATCCCAAAAAGGTTGCCTATTTTTTGTAGACAAAGATTTCAAGGATGAGTGACGAGTTCATAAAAGTGAAAATAACTTTTTTGACTTTTTTACATCTATGACAAGGGTAATGTAGGAAAGTATAATTATTTGTGGTGCTTATTTTTGGAACATACTAAAAAGGAAATGTAGAAAAAACAGATATTTTTATTTATATGATATGTTAGTTTTCTATCATCTATGGTTTTCTTGTTGTACTTCAGTGGACATTTACATTGAATCCTATTATTTGACACATTACTTTCTTAATAATTGTTTATTATCTTTAACAGGCAAAACACAAATAAGAATCACACTACAGTTCCTAATCATGCTACCTCCTGCTCACTTCTGGAAAAGACCTGTGATCTAATCAGAAATTTTCCCGAGTATTTTGATGTGGCCGTTAGTGTTGCACGAAAAACTGATGCTCGACATTGGGGAGATTTGTTTGCTGCCGCTGGTAGATCAACTGAGTATGTAAATGCACTTCTTATACTTTGTTTCCTTGGATTAAGGGCTTGTCAAGGATCTCACCTGCTCTATGCAGTCTGATCACCCACCCACTTTGTCTAAGCCCTCTAGGGGAGAGGGGTGGACAGTTGCTATACGTGGGACTTATTGAATCCCCCCTCCCCAACCACCAAATATGAGGGCTCCTGCACTGGACTTGTTCCTGCATTGGAACAGACATTAGAGAATATGTTGTTTGTCATAAGTTGCAAATTTGTGTAGAAATTAACTGTTTCTTTGTATAATATTACAGCTCTTGACTTGTTTGTACCTTCAGGTTGTTTGAGGAATGCTTCCAAAATAGATGGTATCGGACTGCTGCTTGCTATATACTGGTAAAAACTAGAGGCATTTTGTTTAAAGTGATTTTAATCTTGAAAAGGTTAAAATGGTGAAGAAGACCATTTTACATTTCAGCAATCCATTATTGTTTTCCATGTCTTTTTTTGTTTTTCCCCCCTTAGGGTGGGGTTAAGGGATTTCTGCTTTCACTTGAAAAATATACTTGCAATATCTTTCATGAGAATAGCATTTTACTCCAATTTTTATGCTTGTGTTTTTATATTGTTCAATGCTACAGGTAATTGCAAAGCTTGAGGGTCCTGCTGTGAGTCAGTATTGTGCAATGCGTTTATTGCAGGTAAGCATGTGCCAAAGTATGCATACTTTGTTATATAATAATTTCAGCTGCTTCTTTTCTGCCATCTATTATTCGTGCCACTAGTAAAACTTAAGAATTACTTCAACTAAAAAATGATCATGGATTTTTGATATTTGTGTTTGGTTGGGAAGGAAATAGTTATTGTTTCAATATTTCAAATATTCCCTCGTCTAACAAGGTTTTCTACATTGTGCAGGCAGCACTTGATGAATCTTTATATGAACTGGCTGGGGAACTAGTATGGCCCATACAGAGCTTTATGTTCTTTTATAGAGAGATCATTTCTTTTTGTATAACATAATTTTATATTGTATCCTGTTCCTTGTCAGGTGAGGTTTCTCCTCAGATCTGGACGGGAATATGAACCCACAGCAACAGATCCTGAGAAGCTATCTCCTCGGTTCTTTGGATATTTTCTTTTTTCGTCTAGTTTTGGTAGACAGTCTCTGGATTCAAAAGGGTAAATGCTTTACTAGGTTATCCTTTCATAGTCTTGGAGCTGACAGACTTGGATATAGACTTTCTAGTAGTTTTTCTCATCTGATATTATGATGTCTAACAGCTCATTCAAGGAGCAGAGTCCACATATTGCTTCTGTTAAGAATATTTTAGAAAGCCATGCAAGCTATCTGATGTGTGGAAAAGAACTTTCAAAGCTTGTTGCATTTGTGAAGGCCACACAGTTTGATCTTGTGGTATAACAATTTATAAAGCTTGTTTTGGTTTGGATTTACATTTTACATGACACAAATTAAAACTTTGGAGCACATAATATGAACTCTTTGCAGGAATATTTACAGCGAGAAAGATATGGATCTGCTCGCTTGGACAATTTTGCTTCCGGGCTTGAGCTTATAGGACAGAAGGTATAAGCGTTTCAGTTTGTTTTCAAATCTAGAATACATGAAATATTTAAATATGTTCTTTGATTTATGCCTGCTGTTATTTGAACATTCTGCATTCAACTACCTTCCTTTGAAGAGTGATTAGTGGAACACTGGAACTTGATTTATATTTGCCCGAAAGACAGCGAAAAAGTCATCTTCATTAAACTCATTTGATTGAAACGCTTGTTTATTTTGCATTACCAGCTTCAAATGGAGACATTACAAAGTAGATTAGATGCAGAATTCCTATTGGCTCAAATGTGCTCTGTCAAATTCAAAGAATGGATTGTTGTCCTGGCCACACTTTTGAGGCGAGCTGAGGTTTTGCCGACTTTTTCTAATTGAATTTCTGAATGTTAAATACTTACAGCTACTAACTGCATTAAAGCCTCCTTATTCTAAAGATAGCAAGTAAAACACGTTTTCAACATAGTGCTTGACATATAGTTCCGTTCTGCAATTTACTCAGGTTTTGTTTGATTTATTTCAACATGATTTGCGTTTATGGAATGCATATAGCACAACTTTACAGGTAATCCTTTTACGACTTCTTTCAGTCTTCTGCTTATATATACACTTGACTAAGGTTTCCCAATACACAGTCACATCCCGCATTTGCTGAATACCACGATCTGCTTGCATTCTTGGAACTGAAGCTACGCCCCACTTCAAGTCCAGAAGAAAAATGAAATTATTTGTAGATAGGGGCACAGTCGTGTCGGGATATCCATTTGTTTTGCGTTTTCTTGGGTAATTACAGTTTACAAGCTTTATCTTTGTTTTTCCCTTTTCTGTTTGGACCAGACCAAAGTTTGGATTCTTATTTCTTTACCTTAGTGTACAGACACGAGAGACACTGTTTGTATGAAAAGTTGTATTTTGTCATGATGAAATTAGTTCCTTGACGTTTACCTGACCTAAATTGCTTGCATCACTTCCATGATCGTTATATAGATCATGTTTGTCATGTTCTGTAGAGATGCCCGTATGGGCAGCTCAGGGGTGAAGTTTGGGAACAATGACTCGGAATCTAGCATTTGTGTTCAGCTGAATTCTCAGACGAAAGCCTTATTTGGCAGTTATATCTGCTCGCCTTCATCCTATGCAGAAGATAATGGATGTAGGAAAACCACAACAGCGTTGGTCGGGCGGCCTATTGGTTTCAGATACTCGCCTTTCTCTTATGGAAAAAAGAAAAAGATAATAGATGCAAGGTAACTTCAATTGAGTTGGTCGGGTAACCTATTTTCCTTATTTTACTGATCCTCCAATGTAAGGAACTAGATTGAGGTACAACTTAGTAACTTACAATGTTATTGTCCTGAGGGCAAACAAATCATGAAATTGTACACAATACATATATAGAAAGTGATATACAAATGCCACAATATTGCAAGTGTAACAAGCAACCATATTAGGAAACTAGCAAATTCTTTCATTATATAACTACAGTTACTTACAGTTCATGAGAGCTGTACTCTGCACTATAGATGATGCTGATACATGCTTAAGCCTACCCTTGTCACGCAAATTTGTTGTCTTGAAAGCGTCACACTTTACTGGATGACAGTTGATTGTAGCGCTTTGATATAGCATCGGGGATCTCCATAGGCAATCTTGACCACACAATCGGGTCTCTGATCTCAGAACTCCTCCTCTTTATCAACACGGTTGCTGTCAGCAGCAAGAAAACTGCAGCTAACAGGAAAAGTACAACACCGCCATTCCCTGTCCTCCATGTCTTCAAGACATAATGTGCACAGAATTCTCCATCAAAGCTGCCCACCGAATTGTTTATCTTCATGATCTCAACCCCGTTAAGAATGGCATCCACAGCTCGTGTCATGCTCATATTTGACGGCCCCACACTAACAGTCAGAACACCCCCCGTAAGCCCCTCATCAACAACAAAGTCAGCATAGAACGGTGAGGCAAGAATTCCGGTGATCATTGTAAGATCCAAGTTTTCGTAAGCCATATATCCATTCACATACACATTGAAATACAGCATACCTCGTGCAGCGCTAGCTATATCACAGAAGTGCATTCTAACCAAGTACTTATAACCCTCATCCACAGGAAACGCCCATGACATGTTTAGTGATGGGATGGAATCACTCGAGCTCTTAATAATCCGTGCTGTGTTGTACATATTATCAGGACCAACCTCTCGGCTCGCCCCACCATTCTGATACTGTATATGCCCAGAATAGTAGACCTTCGACAAGCTATCATCATGAGACTTCAAGAACTCGTCATCAGGAAGCCAAGTTCTCCACAAAGAGTCATTAAAAGGGGTCACTTTTGGACCTCCCATACTAACTCTATGAACAGTTTCAAATCCATTCTTCAATAATCCACTAATTTGTTCATTTTTCTCAGAACTCACATACTGAGCTAAATCAGCAACCAAATCTTTGGGAGCTGAGATTACTTCTATGGCATTAACGAATGCAAATTTCGACTTCTTCACTGGGACGAAGGTGATCACAAGCTTATCCGAATCAACCCTAATTGTATAGTCTTTAATTACCCCGGAATTCCAAGTCTTTTCAATACTAGAACTGTTCAACAGTAAATACCCGTTCGCCAAAACATAAAACTGAGCATTCGAATAATCAAGGCCGGTGTTCAGTACCTGGAAATGGAGGCGAACTAGATGAGCACCCGGATCTCTGATGCTGAACGCGTACTTTGATGGCCGGGTGAAGAGCCGACCCGTGTGGTAAATCGGGGATGATCCGGGAAGAGGATTCGAGACGGCGAGTGATACCCCTCCGGATGAAGAGAGCAGCGGCGAATTTGAGTCCTCGGACGAGTCGCCGCCGAAGCGGCGGTGGTCGAGGTCAACCGTGCTGCCGTGTGACCCGCAATTGATGAGGTAGTGGTCGATGGGAGAGAAAGCGGAGGAGGAGAGGACGAGAGTGAAGAAGAGGAGGAACGAAGAAAAGCAGAGAGCGAAAGGTAGCTTGAGTTTCGCCATGAGATGATGAGGGAAGCTTGAATTGAAGCTAATCAAGCTATGGAGAATATGGTTGATGATGGACGATACGCTGACGCTGGTGCAATGTGCACTGGCGACGTGTGGGGTCAACGCGGTTCCGACAGCTAGACTTGACCAACTCAACTTTAAATGACGAGGTAAGGTTGTTCTTAATTACTAACCCAATAATTTTGGACCATTCATAAATCAACTGTTAATGCAAGACCTACTTTTGTATATATATAGAAATATCTGATATCGTATGTAAAAACATTTTATGTTTTCCTTTTTGGTTCAGTAAATATGAAATTAGGTTTGTCATAAGTAATATATAGACTTTATATTATATATCTATTTACTCGTTAATGACAAAGATTTCAATATTTCAAACTTCATTAAAAAAAGGGAAAATGACACTTTTTTCTCCTAAGTTACATACTTATAACATTTTTTCCCCCTCAATTATTTAGGTAAGCACATTAGTCCCCTCAATTATTCTAAAAGTGGTGCTTTTTCCCCCTGATATATTAAATTGACATTTCTACCCTTAAAGTAAACATTTTTTTATTTTACTTCTCCAATAAATTATTGCGTATACGTAGGGATGACCACGGTTCGGTTCGAACTGAACCGGACACTAAAGCAATCGAATTAAAAATTTCTGATTATGATTCAGATCTATAACCCAACATTTGAATTTCAATTTATTAAAATTATGAATCAATCAAATTGGATCCTGAACGGCTGAACCGTGAACCGGGGGTTCCAGATCCGGTTCGCAATTTTGAACCGTCTTTATTTTAAATTTTTATTTTTTATTTTAAAATAGTCTAAATTCAACAATAAATGTATTTCATTTTTTCAGTTCGGAACATGAACCGTCTGTTCTGGTTCGCGATTTTAATAAGCTTTAAATATCGGGTTTCGATTCTAAATTGTAATTGGAATATTTCGGTTTGGTTGCTATAGTGTTTGTTCGGTTGAACCAAATTATGGTCATAATTTGTTGGAGAAGAAAAATAAATAAAATATTTATTTTAAATATTTATTTTAAGGGTAAATATGTCCATTTAACATTTCAGGGGGAAAAACAGCCACTTCAATAATTGAGGGGGAAAAAGTGCTATATGTATATAACCCAGGGGGAAAAAGTGTCATTTTCCCTTAAAAAAATAGACTTTTGACTTCTTTTTTCTGAAACTTAACTACTCTGTATTATTAAGTAGCAAAATAGGATGAAATGTACACGAAGCCACAAGCCCTTACCAATATGGGAATTTGAGACTCGGGCAAACGGTGAACAACAAGATTCGTTGATCTTCTAACTGATCTTACGCTAATGTTATTAAAGTAGGAAACAAGTGTTCTACACTCATAACTAATTACACCAGCATAAGAGAAGTTTGGGGAACTATTGTTGAGTGTAGATACAACGTTGGAGTAGTCAGTATCAAGCAATATGTGATCATCTCATCTTTCTTTTAGTCAAGATAATGCCTCTTTGTAGGCAAGTGTCTCCACCAAAAGGGATCCGGAGGGCATAAAAGTAGTCTCACTTTTGTTTGCAAATGCCCTTGATATCTTGATGCATTCCATATAACCACGTCGAAGCCTACCAGGTTGGAGGATGGGAAGATAGTTGCGTCTATATTGCACTTAATATTACCTAATGGTGGGGGGTCCAACAGGCGGGGGAGTGGTGTGATTGGTAGCTGCCCCCACAATGGATCCATCATTATATGGCTCAATAACATAAATAATAAACATAGTGAATCAATTAAATGAATGATCAACCAAGTTTGGCATAGTAGAGAAATTTATCGAACAACTCAATTTGCTTTGTGAGATCCATACTGACGTCCAATTCACACTTTTCCATTCCATTGAACTAGGGCACCACATAGTTGTTTAACAATATTGGTGTGTTACTTGACCAATTAGTTGTTTTCACAAACCAAAAACTCATCACATTAATTTCACATTCTCACTTACTACTTGTCATCATGAATACATTGACAGTTTTCGCTATAAATACCTCATTGGCATCACTTTTTGTGCCACCAAACGGATGAATTAGGTCACCACATAGTTGTCTAACAATATTGGCGCATTACTTAACTCACTAGTCTTATTTGTCAACCAAAGCTCATCATATTAATATCACTTGTAACTTGTCATCATGACAAAGTTGATGATTTTTACTATAAATACCTAATTGATTCAATTGTATGAGGGTGATATTCATCTCGTTTCTCATGTTCTAATAACGTAAAAATTAATAATAACCATCATATCATTTATAATTTACGATTAATGATATAAATATTGCGTAATTTATTACAATAATCGTTCTAAAATACTTTGTATATTAAATAACCAAAAGAGCATACTAAAAAAAAAGTGTTTTAATCATTGTTTATATTTAAAATTTCAAATTTTGTCAACTCAATAAAACATTTATCAACAAATTTGATATTGATTTCTATCAAAATTTAAAAAATAAATAAATTAGTAAATACACACATTTTTTTTTTTTTGAATAAGGTTCAAATTGGCCACTGAACGTAACTTAGAAATGCAATTAGGCCAGTGAATGAAAAAAAAAAATTGTAATTAAACCACTGAACACTCAAAAAAGTGCAATTAGGCTACTGAACACTCTAAATGTATGTAATTTCACCAGATAGTAGGTTACCATCAATTTTAGCAGGTTACATATTTACGTGGTAGCTGAGTTGACATTTTTAATAATTTTAAATATTAAATTGAAAAAAAAATTAAAAATAGGGTCTTTAAAAAAAAATTATTATTAAAATTTATTAAAAATGCCCGCTCAGCTGCCATGTAAGCAGGTAACCTGCTATCAGGTGAAATTGCATACATTTGGAGTGTTCAGTGGTCTAATTGCACTTTTTTTTTTTCCGTTCAGTAGTCTAATTGCATTTTCAGGTTATGTTCAGTGGCCAATTTGATCCTTATTATTATTATTATTATTATTATTATTTTTTTTTTTTTTTTTTTTTTTTGGTTCTAGGAATATACACACAAATATTTAGTTAGTAATAACCAATGACACGGTTGGCCTAGGACATGAAGTTATCCCACTTAAGCTCGATAGTATACCTCTAGTTTAATGGCAGTTTGGTCCATCAAGACCATTAAAGCATCTTAAAAACTCGCAGGCAATTAGACATTGGTGTGATTCATGAGATTGAGTAGCAATTATAATTATTAGTTGTGTATAAATATCTCACGCTTTATAATGTTTAAATAATTTAATTTGTACTAAGTTATTTTATCTGGTACTAAATTTAGTCACAAACAAAATATTTTACTTTGTGCATTGCCTTTATTATTATTGTTTACTTAATTGATGTAATTATTTTATATTAACCCATATTAATACCATCAAGATTAAGATATACTTATATTGGGTGTTGCTTACTTTTTATTTGTTATATAAAAGTTAAAGTGTATTTTTTTAAAGGGTTAGTTGATTATGTAATTATATTATGACAGTGTAGTACTTTGTGTGAGGGTGCAAATTACTCGTAAAATTTAATTGGGGGCATAAATAAAATATATTGAAATATCTAGCAATCAAGTGAGAGTGTGAATAAGATCAGGAGCCTAAGTGAGATAATCAAAAGTAAGCGCCGTTTTTAGCAATTAGTGTAGATTAAAGGAATAAAGTAAAATAAACATGTTTATTCGGGTTCCTTCGAAAATATCTGGGGGTTTAGCCGACCCTGTTCAACCGGATTGAACTGACCCAAGTAGGAGAAAGCCCTTCTCCCTATTCCGAAAAAATCGTCTCAGAATCTCAGTCATAGACCTTCGCTCTCTCTCTGTTTCTCTCTATCTGCAGCTCGGAAATTCTGCCATGGCGTTTCCTTATATGGAAGCTGTTGTTGGTACGCTCTTACATTCGCTTTATTTTGCGTGTGTATATATTTTAGATATTGTTCGCATTTGTATGCGTACGAATATTGCTCATTTGCTTGTTCGATAGAGATATTTCGGCTGTTATCTGATTTCTGATGTATTTGTAATCGTCATTTGATGTTTATCGTATGTTAATATCTTAAGTTCCTGACTGATCGTGAAATAATTTGCATTTTGAATTTTGATTGTTTAAATTCCATCTTTTGCGTATGTGTTTAGTCATATTTTCTTTGTGCATTTCACAAGCTTGCTGACATATTAAAAAATAACAGATAGAGCTGAAGTTTGCATGTCGTGTTTTAGGGATGTTGCCTTGGCATTTTGGTGGTTATCTGATTTGTATTCCAATTTTCTAAACCTTTCAGGTTTCATGATATTGATGTATATTTTTGAGACTTATCTTGATATAAGGCAACATGCTGCTCTTAAGTTGCCAACACTTCCAAAACCTTTGGTAGGAGTAATCAGCCAAGAAAAGTTTGAGAAGTCTCGAGCTTATAGTATTGATAAAAGGTTCATTTGTTTCAAATTCTCTATTCTTTGTGGGCTACAGTTCAACTTTCCAATTTTATTCACACTTCGATTGTTTTCTAATGTTGTTGGTTTTAAATATTTTCCCAGTGATTTTCACTTTGTGCATGAGTTCGTCACCATACTCATGGACTCTGCAATTTTGTATTTTGGGATCTTACCCTGGTTCTGGAAGGTAAGTGGTTAACTATCTTGAGGCATTCTCTGCTGCTAAAGAACCTTGTGTTTTATTTGTTAATTTTTGTTTTGATTGCAGAAATCAGGAGATTTTTTGGTGTTCCTTGGTCTTAACACAGAAAATGAGATATTACACACACTTGCATTTTTAGCAGGTGTTATGTTTTGGTCGCAGGTGCGTTTATATATGTTGATAATTTCTGCTCCCTCTTTTATAATGACTAAAAACTATTCATCTTACGAGATTTTCTTTGAGGGAAAGTTATCTACTTTACCATTTCTAATTTCTAATAATCTAATATATTATGATTTTATGTTACCATTTCTCATTTTGGTTAAAACACATAAAAGTTGTTTTTCTTGGATGAGTCACAATTTGTTTGGTTGTGTAAAAACCTAGCACATTTTCTGCATGTTATAACCTGAGAGCCTGCCCAATTTCTTATTTTTCTGCTTATATTAGTAGCTTGTTTTTATCTATTCCTTTTCACATTTTATTGACGTATAAAGATTGTGATGCCCTTCTTTTTAGTTGGGAGTATTTGTCACGATGATAAGTATTTTTTGGGGGTAAACATTACATTATCCTTTTAGTTTGGGGTCTAGAATAACACTAGCTGAAAACATGCCAGAAATGCTTGGCAGTTACATTTGTAGACAGTGAGTGTTTGATTTATAGTTGTTTAAAGCCATACTTGCCTGGCACAAGTTTGTATACATTGCAAGCTTTGTGTTTATGCATATATGTTACACTGTCTGATATTATAATTTGTTTTAAAATTGTTCTGCAGATTACTGACTTGCCATTTTCTTTGTACTCAACGTTTGTGATTGAGGCCCGCCACGGTTTCAACAAGGTAAGGTTTTAGGCTCCTTTTCATGATATATTATATTCTCTCTCTCTCTCTCTCTCTCACTCTTTTTTTTTTTTTTTTTTTTTTTTCACTTCATAATATTATACTTGGACTCAGAAACATACGCTTTTGTATTGTTTACTTCATTGATCTTGGCTGTAACTCTCGTGGGTTGTTGTGATACAGCAAACGATGTGGCTATTCTTCAGGGATATGATCAAAGGTATTATCTTATCTGTTGTGATTGGTCCTCCTATTGTGGCTGCAATCATTCTGATAGTTCAGGTATTTTGTTATGCCATAACTTGCATCACAGTATTCATTTATTTTAAAAATTTTAACAATGCAGTATTAGCACTGGTTACTTTGTCTGAGTTTTGCACTGATTTTGTTCTCAAACAGTATCAGTTGGAGTTTACATACACACAGTTTTTGCATCTCTATTATTATTATTTCAATTATTTATTTTTTTGCATCTGGATAACAAATACTGGAAGTGCTGTTTTTATGTTTTCTTCTTCTCCCTTTTCTGCCCTTTAAAGAAGGATATCAATTTTGGATGCAGAAAGGAGGTCCTTACTTGGCTATATATCTATGGGGTTTCATGTTTGTCCTGTCTCTTGTTATGATGACACTATACCCTATTCTGATTGCCCCGCTTTTCAACAAGTTCACCCCAGTAAGTACCAGTCTTTTTTATTGTCTTTTCCTTTTTAACTATACATTTAGCTTGATTTTTAAGAACATGGAGAATGATGCTTAGATTTTCTCTTTGTAGCTTCCTGAAGGTGAGCTTAGAGCAAAAATTGAGAATCTTGCTTCCTCACTCAAATTCCCCTTAAAGAAGTTGTTTGTTGTTGATGGATCTACAAGGTCAAGCCATAGCAATGTGAGGACCCAACTGCTTGGTTTATTGTAACTTATTGAATTGTTTTGACATGAATATGGTCTTAACTTGTTAATAAGCAAGAAATTTACTATGTGAAACTATGATGAAATAAGACAAGAAACAGATTGAAACCTAGAGATATGAATTTCCATTTGGTTGCAACTAGTCTATATCCTAATTCTGTTTCTGATATTCCCCCCATCCTCTCTACCTAATGCTCATCTCATGTCTATGATTTTTATTTTTATTTTTATTTTTCTAGGCATACATGTATGGATTCTTCAAGAACAAGCGCATTGTCCTTTATGATACGTTGATTCAGCAGGTGGGGCTGTTACCATACACATGCTATAGATTTTCCTTATTTCCTTAATTTTTAATTCATTGTTTTGAACTGCTAAAGATATGAATTTTCAGTATCTTTGTATTTAACTTACCTGGGAAAATGTTATATTTTATATGACTGTTACTATCTTGTAATATTTGGCCTTGCTATTTTCCTTTCCATTAGGGGGACCCTTTATCTTGTATCATTATATCGAATTAATGCATTTCTTGCAAAGTAGCTGCCATTGCTCTAGAAACTGCATTGATACAAAAAGTAGATATCATGCTATTTTCTAGTGAGGTCCCTAACCACTTATGTGTTGAGTTTATGCTAAGTTTACTAACTGTTTCAAGAACACTGCATGGTTGTATAGCAGTGATATTATCCCAATGCAGTGTCAGTACTCTTTTGGATGCATGCACACTATTTTGTGGGCTCAGAGTACCTTTTAAATTTCCATGTCCTTAATTTCTTTCTTTTTATTCTTGATTCTTTTTAGTGCAAGAATGACGAGGAAGTTGTTGCTGTTCTTGCACACGAATTAGGCCACTGGAAACTAAATCACACAATGTACTCCTTCATTGCTGTCCAGGTATGTTAATCAATTAATGCAACCTCTCCTTCTAGAAATCCTTTCATTTTGTCTCTAAATGGGTGCTGAATAATGTATAAGTATTGAATTCATGCTCATATATAGCCCATAATTTGTTGTTACCCTGTTATATTTGTGATTGAGGTACATATTAAGGTTTAGGATTTGGTGTCGAAGTTGTATCTGAGGATTTCTACTCTATTTATTAGTCCATATATATATTTTTAAAATATTTGCTCAAGAAACAACTTAGAAGCTGAAGCTTGATTGACACAGAGAAACCAATCTTGATCAATTTGAACTTTTCTAGCTCACTAGCCAGCTTAGCTCATAATAAACCACCCTAGTTCTGTCCTTTTGTTTGGAAGTTTTTCTGTTTGTTGTGACATATTCTTTTAAAACTATGCAGATCCTCACATTCTTACAATTTGGAGGATACACACTTGTTAGGAATTCCAAGGATCTGTTTCAGAGTTTTGGCTTTGAAACTCAACCTGTTCTTATTGGGCTTATCATTTTTCAGGTAATAATTCATTATTTAGTTCATACTAGATGCCTCAGATGTGCTGACATTGAAAGTCTTGAGCTGTCTGTGTGGTGGTTCTTGGCCTTTTCCCTTAAGACTAAGCATTATCTTTATCCAGAAGTGTAGCGGTGTTAATTTATCTGTGTGTTTTGCATGTTCAATGAAACGAGTTTTGAGAAAGAAATTGAGAATAGATGGCTGGTTGGGATGCAACCAATCCAGCTCGATAGCTTTTTTATTTCATGCATAATATGTTTTTCTTATGCACACATGCTTTCTATGAAATGGTGGATCTTAACCTCACGGTATGGTTAGTGTAATTAGT